AAGGGGAAAGGGCGCCCCATGCAGACATGCCAGCAAAACACGATCGGAGATGCCTACAGGCTCCTTGGCATGGAAAAATGGAACAACAGCACCACCCCATGGGTGTAGTTGAGGATCACCTCCAGACACCGGAGATGAAAGGGGAAGGCCTTTAACTTTGTCTGAGTATTGGATGTTGTTGTTGTCGCTCCGGGGAGATTAAGCGGAATATAAATGAAGTATATTGTTATTGTTGTTGTTTGTGTTGTTATTTAAGGTTCACTACATCAGACACTGAGCACAAATCTGTAAAGCAGCCTTCTTCCCTGACACCTCAAACGACAGCGTAAGGAATAATGAAAGGAGTCGAAAGGGCCATATGAGTTATTTTGTAGGCTCTAAAAGCTTCTAAGGCACCCCATTTCCCACCATAGCTCATACCACCAAGATTAGCCTCTGGTGCAGTTGTACATCAACATCATTCACACACACACACGCATTAAAATATTTGGGTATGTAAGGTAAAGTCTAGTTGTCTCTTACTAGAGAAGTGCTCTAGTTGTCCATAGACAGCTTCAAGGTCATGTGGCCAATATGACTGCATGGAACGCCATTACCTTCCTATAGAAGTAGTACCTATTGATCTACTCACATTTGCATGTTTTCAAATTGCTAGGTTGGCAGAAGCTGGGACTAACACTGGGATCTCACCCATCCCTGCAAATCTTTCAGGCAGCAAGTTCAGCAGCTCAGCGATTTAACCCGCTGGCATTATGGCTCCTGAAATTTATGATTAAGCCATGGAAATAGCTTACTGCTCATGTAAACAAACAAATATTTTTGGTGGGGACGAGACACAGGGCCTTCTCGGTGGTGGCCCCTTGCCTATGGAACTCCCTCCCCAGTGAGATTAGATCGGCCCCCTCCCTCCTGGTGTTTAGAAACCACTAAAAACTTGGTTATGCAAACAAGCATTCAGTGAATGACAACAATAGTGGAGCAGACGGATGACAACCTCAGGAACAGTGCAATGTTAAAATGTTTTACATTTGTTTGATGGTCCATAGTTTAAATGGCCTAATTTATAGTCATATGTAATTGCTTTACAAGATTGATTGATAACTGGCAAATAGAGGGAGAAAACGTGGAGGCAGTGACAGACTTATATTTCTAGGTGCAAAGATTACTGCAGATGCAGACTGCAGCCAGGAAATCAGAAGACGTTTACTTCTTGGGAGGAGAGCAATGACCAATCTTGATAAAATAGTGAAGAGTAGAGACATCACACTGGCAACGAAGATCCGCATAGTTAAAGCAATGGTATTCCCCATAGTGACCTATGGATGTGAAAGCTGGACCATAAGGAAAGAAGGAAGATAGACGCTTTTGAACTGTAGTGTTGGAGGAAAGTTCTGAGAGTGCCTTGGACTGCGAGATGATCCAACCAGTGCATACTTCAGGAAATAAAACCCAACTGCTCATTGGAGGGAAAGATATTAGAGGCAAAGATAAAATACTTTGGCCACATCATGAGAAGGAAGGAAAGCTTAGAGAAGACAATGATGCTGGGGAAAATGGAAGGAAAAAGGAAGAGTGGCCGACCAAAGGTAAGATGGATGGATGGTATCCTTGAAGTCACTGGCTTGACCTTTAAGGAGCTGGGAGTGGTGACGGCCGACAGGGAGCTCTGTTGTGGGCTGGTCCATGAGGTCTCAAAGAGTTGGAAGAGACTGAACGAATAAACAACAATTGCTTTAGATGTGTGATATATTAAAATAGGTTTTTTTCCTAAATGGTTTTGATATGTTACTATATTGCTGCCTAAGAGGGCTTCCCCCCCCCCCCACCATCATCTTTGTTAGCAAGCTAGACAATGGAAAATTTAAAGGAAATTAAGAATAAACAAATGAACTATAAACTAGTTTTCTCTCTGTTTTAGGAGATATGACTACAACATTTGTGTCTTTCCTCACACAACCACTCTAGAATAAGAATATAACCTCTCAGCATTCACATATATGATCAAATGTGTGTGTGCACATAACATTCAAACACAGAATAGTGTCAGTGTGACCCACACTTTCCTGACTTCTTATATCATTAAGTGACCTATTTCTACATCCCTAAAATGTGAAGCTCCAGGGAAGCTTTAAACCAGGACTTCTTCAACTTTTTCCACTTGCGACCCCTTTCCACCTGAGAAATTTTTACATGACATAAAATAGATATAAAAATCAAACAATTGCTGAAAATAAATCAGCATTTTCAAGGCTTGCTAAACAGGCTGATTCCCCATTTTGTAGAATACAGTTGAAGAATATCTTACTTGAATGTGTGTGCCTAGTGAAGAATGTATGGGCTGCCTGTGTATACGTATTAAGAAAAAGATAACTAAAATGTAATAAGGAGCACCCAAAGATTAAAAAAGACTCAAACATTACTGGTTAGAATACTAGATAAATGCAAAAAATATTTGCATTGCTAACTTGATTTGTTGTAATCCATCATTTTGCTGTTGCTCTTCGTCTTATCAGGATTTGGAGATGTTACTTCCCCGCTATCAGAAACTCATTATGGGAGGTTGGAATTGAACACATCGGTGCCTAGTACAGACTACATTAAAAAGGATACTACCTCCATTTGTTTCCTGTTCATCTCTGGGAGTGCTTAAAATAGCTTCATAAAGTGAACATGGAAATTATCCAGACAATGAAATTACTCTCTCTAAACGTTTAATATGGTTTTCTCTTCCTCTGCTTTCCAAAAATATCTTTTGGAATAACCCTCTCAGAATTTCTCAATCACCATTTCAAGTTCTGCTCATTCGGTTTCTCCTCTCAACATTGCATAGCAACTGTTTTGGACCAGTCTGTTCCATTATAGGTTTTTTTGTACTTCTGAAAACCTTAAAATTCTCTATGTTGTGGCTTTAGTTACCTAAACATAGGAAGAAAATAACACACAGTGGGGATCTGTGGCATGAGATGTTATATCTTCTCTGTGAGGATTTCAATATCTCTGCTCTCAGACAGAGACCTGAACGAGTATCTTTAGTTTACATGGATCAACATACTGAATAAAGCCACCATAAACATAAACAAAAAAGGACACACATGAATCTGCTTTTAGTTATAAAAATATGGGGAGTGGGAGTAAAAATCTAGGCCTTCCATGATCTCTTAAGAAAGATTTAAGCTTCTATTACAGGCTAAGAGTTTTGGCAAAAACATGTGGTCATGTCGCCAGAGGTCTGAGGGTACATAATGGCTATGGATCTCTCTGATCAGATACAACTTACTAAACCCTCTGTCTGGTCATGCTTTTGTTTTAGGATTCTCTACTCCTTCCTGTGATTCTGTTATTTTTCTTTCTATTGTTAACAATTATTGTTTTTATTGCCTTGCAATAACTGCTATTTGTGAGCTCCCAAAAGATGGAATAAAAGCATTTTATCAATATATTAATCACAAACTAACTAGGCTGTCAATTCTAACTTTATGAACCGTACCTTGAGCTGCAGTGGAGAAATGGGTTAAAACATTGTGCTGCTGAACTGCTGACCTGAAGGTTGGCAGAACTGCAGATCTAAAGGTTGGCAGTTCGAATTTGCAAGACGGGGTGAGCTCCTGTCTGTCAGCCCTAGTACCTACCAACCTAGAAGTTTGAAAACATGTAAATGGGAGTAGAGAAAAAGTTACAGCAAAGAAATGTTCCCAGCAGCACCGTAGCCAGATTTTTTTTTAATTTTTTTTTTTGTGAATCACAAAATGTAACACAAAATTATTTAAATAGTATGGTTCATTCTATATTTTATTAGACTTAATTAAATCCATTTTCCCATCTCCTTCATGGGGGACTTCAAATCCCTCCCATGCCTTAGGCTTTACCTACCAGTTGTGGGTGGGTCAACTTGGTTGCTTCCACTATATCATGTATTGCTGCAAGTATTGACTGTGAATAAATTGTCAAAATTTGCTTGAGATAGTGCTTGCAGTTCTGGAGGGACTTGTTTAATTTTTGCTTCTGATAGACTTAGAAGCATGGGGATTTGGTTAACCAGTTAAAATTAATGAGTAAACCAGGTTTTTTTTTTTGACATGAAACATTTCGAGGGGGTGTGTGAACCCCTAAACCCCACTTGGCTACAGTCCTGGCTCCCAGCAATTTTGCTGGCCATATGATCAGGAGGTGACAACACAGGTTCCTCAGCTTGAAAATCGAGAAAAGGACCTCCCAGAGCAAGAGTTGAGCACCACCTCCAGAAGCTGGAAATGAAAGGAAAAGCCTTGCCTTTGTTTGTGTGTCTCATGTGATTGTAAAGGCACTGAATGTTTGCCTATGCATGTAAATGCTGTAATATATTCTGAGACCCCTAGGGGAGAAGGGTACTATTATAACTATTATTACTATTATCTTAACAATGAAAAATATTGATTAGATTTTTGCTTTCATTGTTTGAATGTATGCCTGTTCAGCTGAGAGAACCAACAGAAATTAATGTGAAACCCATGAAAAGATTATCACCTGCAATTATAATACAAATACAGTACATGTGTGTGTGTGTGTGTGTATGCAGTACAAATAACTGCATACACATACATGCTGCCTATTACAATCAATATACAGGCTCCACATTTCAGTTGGGACAAGTGTTTCCCATCTAGATCTTCTTACAATATGTGAAGCAGATGTCTGATGAGGACGTGAGAAGCTAAGCTATAGTTCTGAAGTATATGTTGAACTATCTTTTCCTAAATCTATAAAATGATCATTCTCAGTGCAGTCATACATGTATATATTCAAATGTAATCCAATTCTCTCACATCAGAAGTGACTTGCAGTTTCTCAAAAGAAAATCTCAAATTCAGTGGGGTTGAAATCCTAGTAAATTCATACAGGAAGTCTTAACTCACATGTTATGAAAAATACAAGAATGATAAATATAGTACAAGTGCTAAAAGTGTTACAACTATATATGTAGTCATTAATAATATGAATATTTCATAAAAGTATATTTTTACCTCTGCTCCTGAATATTTCTGCGTCCGTTGAACAAGCTCATCCAGGCAGACTTCATCTGAGATGGGCATGGTATGAAACTGAATTTTCAAGATTTCTCTGCGAGTGGCTGCATCAGGCAGAGGCACATATATGATTCTGTCAATCCGACCAGGTCGCATCAAAGCCTGTGGAAAAGTAATTTTTATAAAGTCCTGTTAACTGGATCTAAAGAAATTTGACAAACAATAAAATACAAGATAGTTTTCTGCAATAAACTATTTTTAACACAGGAATTATACCACAAAAGGCAAATAATGTGACATATACTACGGTTATCTGGAAAGTAAGGTTACAAGGCACATAGCTATTGCAGGGAATTTTCTTGGGGGAAATTTTCCATGTAGCCAGAAGCCAGCAGAAGCGAATGGAGCAGTGCCAGACATCAGTAGTTCACAGACTGGCAATGTAGTGAAGGTTAGAGGTGAGTGTCCTCATTCTGTTTCCTCCAAGTGCAAAGTTTGCACTCCAATACGCTACCTAAATGCTAAGGGCATGAATGCCACTGCGATTCATCATGAAATCGTTTCAGTTTATGGAGAGGATGTAATGTCAAGACAGCATCTGACAAAATGGGTACAAAATATATTGTGAGACCATGAAGAAACTTTGCAGAGCCATTCAAAACAAATGTCGTTGGATACTAACAGCAAGAGTCTGTCTCCTCTGCACCACTTGGCTTTTAACAATACTTTTTTTTTCCAAAACCAGAAATGTTGTTCCTGACTCCTGTTTCACATTTTGACCACTCATTCACTTCTAGAAGGACCCTGGGTATAAAACTCAACCCTGGAATTGCTGCAGGCACCAACACCTTTCTCTATATCGCAACTCTTCCCCATGCTAATGTTTACCCATGTTCAATAGAGCTGATGCTGGTTTGGGAAGGAGTTGCTGCATAGCTCCAGGCCACTTGTTTTACAAAATAGTAGAGGAAACAGTAGCCCCCATATAGTTGGGATGGAGTGAGTACTCTACTTGGAGTTAGCTTTTGAAAAAGGGACAGTAGTCAGTATTATTTTGGACACCCTACAAATGCTAAAGTTGTCCACTACAGTTGCCTGAGGACCAATTTGAACTTCATAAGATTGAAGTCTGTAGCGCAGGGGAAAATCTTCAAATCTCAAATTTATCTAACAACATCAAGAACATTATCTTTTGACTTGTAGATAAATATTGTTGTCTCGTTAACCAAACAGATTGCATGCAAATTCAGCAATTTTAACAGATTTTCAGCTGGTTGTGTTTAAGGCAGAGCACGTAACCCAAATTATTTTTTATGTTATAGTTCCCCCTTGGGCAGTGTAGTTTGAGTTCCAGTTGACTAGAGATACTGCACGGTTGTCCTGGGCTCTCAGCCAATAAGACTTTTTCCCAGCCTGATCATGTCAGTGAAAGTCATGCTGAAAAATAGTAGGAAGAAGCTTTCCTTCCTGCACAGCATTGATCAAGTTAACACCCTTCCTAGAGTTTCTTTAAAAAGACCATTGTGAGTACTCTGGGATGGAAAAAATGTATCTTGCATGCTAAGAGATGTCCTGTTATTTTTAAAACAAAAGCATGCGTATTCTCAACTAAGGAAACTCTACAGCAAGTACAGTGTATCCACCCACAGGATCAGGAGTGTTTCCTTGAAGACTCAACAAGCTAGGGGATATAACTGCCAGCTCATTGTTCAGTCAAGTCACATTTATATCAGGAAACTGTTTGGAAGGTTTTAATATTGTGGCCTCCAACCACAGCAAGCATACGCTTGTTTTTCCAGTGCTCTTCCATATGATTTTGAGAAAGCTGCAGCTCTGACAGAACAAAAAATCTCTCCAGTTCAATACCTGAATACCTTCACATAAGCCTAGGAAAGACTCCTATTTGAAACCTCTGCGGGTCAGCATATGAAATACTGAGAAAGACTGAGCAATAAAAACCCTACACTTCTGCCAATCTCTATACTCCTGCTATAAATAACATGTAAAGCAGTGTGTCCTTGTGTGGTTTTCTAGATAGTGATTTACTACCTCATCATACAGGGCATATGCTGGTTAGGTAAAGGTAAAGGTTGTCCACTGACATTAAGTCCACTCATGTCCGACTCTGGGAGTTGGTGCTCATCTCAATTTCTAAGCTGAAGAGCCAGTGTTGTCCATAAACACCTCCAAGGTCATATGGCCGACATGACTGCATAGAGTGCTGGTATGCTGTTTGAGCCCTAGGTTATACACGGAGCCCGCCAGCCCCAATCAAATAACGCAGATGAATTTTCAGCAGGGATCCATGGATGTTCTAGGGTGGAACTGGTGCATTCTGCTACCACAGCAACATGGGAAGCTTCCCATGTTGTCATAAGAAGCAATGGGGAGAAGCCGCACGGTCAACGTTTCCCCCTTGGGATCAGCTTCCTCAGGAGCCGGAGATGCAGGACATGGGGTGGTGGATTCCCACACCCCCTGATGAGGGTCACCAGATTCAGGCAGCCATGTGACGAAGTCATTAGTGTCCTTTAGCCCACAATTATTTAGTCATACAGCTACAGGACTTTCCTTCACATGGAAGAACAACATAATATTATAACCTTTACATTGTAATTAAATAGCAGTAAAATATTTGGCAGAGAGGTTTAAGTATATGCATTGCTTTTGTTTTATTTTTAAATTCATGAGATCACTCATAAATGTGCTGCTAATACTCTTAGAAAGTACACTAATTAAAGTTTTATTTCCTGGAAAAACCCATCTTTGTAATAACCATAAATAGTTCAATTACGTAGACCTCTAGCTATCTATTTGTCTCGGCCAAAACAATTACTATAACATTTTGAAAACTGATTTAAAAAACCAATGGAAGTTTTTTTAAAAGCCTTAATTTTAAAAAAATGTATAACCTGCATTTGTTTTTTATTCAGGAGCCACAGCAGCTTACAAGCAAACTAATGAGGGTTCATTTGTGGAAAAGAGCAAAGAAGAATGATGGAAGCAACAAGAACCATGCAGATGGCAGTATAATTTAAGGTAAATTTCAAAACAGAACTAGGAGGGGCTGGAGTCTAATAAATCAAGCATGCATGGCCTCTGATCTCAGGTCTGTCTGCTGCTACATAGCCCTGGGGTAGGATGCAACCATAAGTCTCAGCGTGTTACTCTCTGACCTAAAAAAAAAAAAAAGGCTCCAGAAGAAATGCTGTTTGCTCCTCCATGGTCTTCAGTAATTTGCACCTGCAAAGCCTTCCCCCCACAAGAGACTGTATTTCTGGCAGGGAAATAGATGTTATGTAACCACAAACAGTAAGGCTGTATTCATTCAGTATATCTGATTTGATAGACCTGTAATCATCATATTAAATAAGATCCTAGTACCCTAGCACCAATGAAGTATTTGGATTGTCACGAGAATTTGAGGAAGAATATGTATGAACACATATTCAGTGGAATATATTGTTTCTCTCCTCTCTGCTTATCTACCTACCTAACTTCATTTTGCCTGCCAGTATGAAATATTTTAAAAATCCACTTCCTGAATCTAAACATGAACCAAAAATGTAGTTTGCCACTCACAGCCAAGGTTCTGTGCCTCTATCTAGACTTATCTCTTTCCTCAATGTCAGGTCTGAGGGGACCTTGAATACAAGACAGTATAGTTCATTTCCTGAGTCTTTTGACACCACAGGACCTTGGCTAAAACTTTACCTGTTAATGATGTACTTCACACAACAACATGTCTACAATAATAAAAATAAGGGTTTTTGTTTTCAATTCAAGCTCAAGGAAACCCTGAAACCTTTCCAGGGACCCCCAAGGACCCCTAATTTAAAATCCTTATACTAAAGTATGACATTCAATTGTTGTGTGTCTTCAAGTACCTTTTGACTTGTAGCAATCCCAATGGTTTTCTGGGGCTGTGCATATGTAATTCACCCAATGAGTTTCCATGGGTGACTGGAGAATAGGTCCATGATCTCCAGAGTCATCGTTCAGTGCTCAAACTACTATACCATGCTGTTATTCTATACTGGTTAAAGGTCTGTCAAAATTAAGGGATGAAGATGGTGCTACTTCACTCATCATCTTATCTCCTAGTACAATGTTTCTCAACCTGGGGGTCTGGACCCCTAGAGGTGTTATGAGGGGGGTGTCAGAGGGGTCACCAAATACCATCCGAAAACACAGTATTTTCGGTTGATCATGGGAGTTTGTGTGGGAAGTTTGGCCAAATTCTATCGTTAGTGGGGTTCAGAATGCTCTCTGTAGGTGAACTATAAATCCCAACAACTACAACTCCTAAATGGTAAGGTCTATTTTCTCCAAACACCACCAGTGTTCACATTTAGACATACTGAGTATTCGTGCCAAGTTTGGTCCAGATCCATCATTGTTTGAGTCTACAGTGCTCTCTGGATGTAGGTGAACACCAACTCCAAAACTCCAAAAAGGTCAATGCCTACCAAACCCTTCCAGTATTTTCTCTTGGTCATGGGAGTTCTGTGTGCCAAGATTGGTTCAATTCCATCATTGGTGGAGTTCAGAGTGCTCTTTGATTGTAGGTTAACTATAAATTCCAGCAACTACAACTCCCAAATGACAAGATCAACACATACACACACCCCACCCAACTCCACCAATATTCAAATATGGGCATATTGGGTATTTGTGCCAAATTTGGTCCAGTAAATGAAAACACATACTGCATATCAGATATTTACATTACAATTCATAACAGTAGCAAAGTTACCATTATAAAGTAGCCACGAAAATAATGTTATGGTTGGGGCTCACCATAACTTGAGGAACTGTATGAAGGGGTCACGGCATTGTCCTAATGCTTCACCACACCCCTCAAACAGTTCTTTGTTCAGGAAGAGTGAAACTGCTATTAGTTCTGTCAATTATACTGAACAGCCAAGCTCCAATGGCAGGCTGAAGAGATGAATTTCCATTCCTACACATATCATAGACAAGTGAAGCCAGTGCTTTGCTATTAGCAAGGATGGGGGCCACACTACTTTTCCACTCAAGGTGCTTCTTCCATTTCTGGCATTCAGTTCCCAAGAACATATTGGAGAATGTCTTTCCCCGGAAGCCAGAATTCCAGTCTCCATCCATTTTTCCTCACCCACATCTCAAAATTTAGAGGGGGG